TTTGATGATTACTTAAGGTTCCTTCAAGTACCATCATCAGATTGAAATGTATTTTACGTTGACATTACATCAGCCTTAGCTGTACGTTCTGTTAAATAGTAAATAACTTATGGCTACATGCAGATCATACATTTCTGATAATTACCTCCCTCATTTTGAAAACGTTCCATGCTTCACTATACTAAAACAAGCAGTTTTTAAAATTTTGGTGCAATGTTTTTGCTGAATCCAACTTGAAACACTTACGAACATACTGTACACTCGTATGAATTTTAAGATAAGAATACAGAAATGTTCTTGCGTGATGCCAATTAACAAAGTACACAATGCCCTGACAGCCAAATAGTTTGTTGAGGGCAGTTCATCCAACTGACCATTTGTTTCAGTTGATGAAGACCTGGGAGAGGGCAAGAGCCCCGAAACATGCGCAATTCAATAGATCTATTCAATCGCGCATGTATACAGTCTAGAATAATTATTTTTTCCTTCACCCTGTTTATTCACATGATTATTGTGATAAAATATACCCTCTTATGATACCGGTGCAATTATTAAATTGCTCTGGTAAACTTCTCATTGAGTGTTTCATTGTGGTCCATTGACTATATTGTCATTGATACATTTGTGTGTGTCCCCACATATTACTTGTTCAACTACTTTGCATTTGCAAAGCATGTTTTTGTTAAAGTGTATAGCATTCTACAATGAGTTGTTCCTCAAAGGACCACAGACAACATTCAAATTTGCACTTCCAGTACTGGAGCTTAACTACCATTAAATGTACAGTAAATGGCTTGTGGAGGAGAGCTGCATATGTGAATCTGACTAGAGACGTTACACACAAAAACAGTAACAGCAGTTACAGTGGCAGGCGGCATCTCACGTTCCTCACTACAGTTTTCAACAAAAGCGAGAATTTTGCTTCATTTCGTTCCAAGTTTTCACAGAGAAAGGGATCGAGAGGGAGAGCCAGGACATTATTCATGTCTTTCAGTTAATTTGGCCTCGGCCGGTCAGCTCCCCAGACAGAAAAAGAAACCTTCTCGTGTTTTTCCACCCTCCTCTCTTTTCTGCTTTTTTGTTCCCTTTCTTTTTTTATTTTGGAGGCAGATTAGCAGGATTAAGTATGGCTCACATATGCTCCTCCTCACTATTGGTATTCACCACGGCACCGGGCCTACCGCCACCCAGACTGATGGACAGAGCGAAGAGGTAATGTTGGTGAGGAGGAGAGTCAAAGTTGGAGGGAAATAGGAAATGTTAAAAACACCACTGTACACACTTTTGGCTGAGGGCTGTTTCCCCCTCCAATTTCATTTGCACTCTTTAGCTCAGACATTTATGCTACAGCATATGATGATATTATTAAGTCCAACAGTTTGTATTAAGCTCTCTAATATTTTAACACGTCCACACCTCTGTGCACAAAGCCAGGTCCAGAAATTAATTGTTCTCCCAGTTTGGTGTGAAAGAACTTGACCGGTCTGCTCAGAGCCCTTTGGGGTGAACTGGAACAATGACTGAGAGCCAGACTTCATCACCCAACATCAGTGGTTGACCTCTCTAATGCACTTGTTGCTGAATGGGAGCAAATCCCTGCTGCCAGGTTTCAAAATATGGTGGGAAGCCGGACAGCAGAAGAGTGGAGGCCGTTAAAGCAGCAGATTAAGGCTCATGGTGTCATTCATTCGCGTGTGTTTATGGCAATGGTGATCTCAGTCTACGTTACGTTTCTGTGGAGCTTAATTATTAGCGATTACTGCATATTACTTGTTCACAGACATTGCAACATGTTTTGCACATGAAATTAATGGCAATTTAATAGTATAATAAAGAGACAAGTGTTTCGTTTGAAAACCTTTATTGAACAATGCACTTTCTACAAGAAATCTGAACGGCTGTTGTTGTAAAATGGCGGGTCCCGCACCTGTAAAACATAATTACAATTAGGCTACACATTATATCGCGTCATTAGCAGAGCGTCTTTACGTGGCTCCGTCAATCAACACATGTAGCCTATATAGGCTACCAACAACATACGTTTCTGGAAAACCATTTTGTAATCGTCAATGTAAAGATACAGATACATTAAACAGCAGATTAGTCTACTAAACACTTAACTGTGCTCTCAAGATTCTCAGGGTGCGCTATCAAAACAGTCCCCCAGGTAAACCAACACCTAGGCCTATTTATCGTTCCGGGAGGGTAACACCAAATATAATTATGTAGAGGGTGGTAAATATATATTTGATTAATTTTGTTAAGCTTTTTTGCATTTGTTTTCATGTATGTAATGTATGTAAGTTAATTGTTGGATGCTATGTATTTTCATGTCATGTTTTTTTAAAAACATTTTTTCAATGTTTTATGTAAAACTGGTATGACTTGCACCCCTTTTTTTGGTAGAACCTAAGTATTGAGACTATAAATTGCTGCCCTTTTTTTTAACCATTTCGGGTTGGTTGTTTAAAGGGCATGGCAGCAGGTCTTGCTGTGGATTGTGTGTGGTATAAAACCATATATAATTAGCATGATTCGAGTTGGCTGCATCTCCCATATCATATCCCATCCTATGGAGTTGACAGCTCCAAAGGTCAGTCTTACAGTCTTTTTATGTTTGTTTGTTTTAAATAAAATTGAATTGTTGAAAAAGTCTTGCCTGACACAAATATACTGAGTTATCATTTGTAGCAATTCTCTTTCTTAGATTCTTAGCTCCCTATTAAAGAAAACAATACTTATTGTTAGTGAAATATTTCTGACCGAAAGTGACTTGCCACACTGCAAGCTGCTGATGGGAGTGTACAAATAATTGTATTTTGTGTAATCTTTTGTTCAAGAAAAGTACATATAAGTGAGAGCACTAACCAAGGAGGAAACTTTCAACTTAACTGTTGACTGACAGCTGCTTTGAATTTTGAAATTAAATATCACCCTTTAGGAAATTTGAGCAAATTCCCCCTTTAATTTGTTGGTATAAAAATTACTTTTAAAGTAATTAGTTATGCATATATTTAAGTAGCCTATCACGAGTTAACTTTATACTCCAGATAATGTCCATAATTATACAAGCTAAGTGTATAGGCTAATTTAGACAACAATTATAAGATGTCTAAGTAAACCCTAAAGAGGGAAGCCTGTAATCTGTGTGATTTATTGTGAATCCGGTGCAGGAGTGAGAGTGTGGGAATGTCTAATGGAGCAAGTGGTGGCACAGATACAAACCTCCTGATTTAAAACGCCACTTAAACCGCCTTCATTACCATAATCTTATTTAACGTTGCTGCGGAGTAAACACACGCAGCAACGGACAGAGGACATAGAAAAATAAGCAGATATAACGATGCGAAGAGAAAAAAAGAGGGGGTGGGGGCAGTGTGTGTGTGTGTGTGTGTGTGTGTGTGTGTGTGTGTGTGTGTGTGTGTGTGTGTGTGTGTGTGTGTGTGTGCGTGCGACTGTGTGTGTGCGACTGTGTGTGTGCGACTGTGTGTGACTGTGACTTGATTCTGTGAAATCGTTGACACAAAGACACCTGGCTGACGGTTTGCCGTACGGAAATATATTCGTTTCTGATTGGCTGGTAGGTGAGGCATGTACAATATCCACATGCCCCCGCCCCCCCCCCTTGAATTTATAGTTCCGGTCATGATATACCAACTCTTAAATCAGTGCGCCAGAATAGGATGGATGGATTGTCAACACATTTAGGCTACATTTTATTCTGGACAAGCCTATTTATTATCATGAATCTATTTTTAAATAGGCATAGCCTATATAAAAAAATGCATACAGACCAACCAGATGTCAATATAGCCTTGTTCGATTTATTGATATATTGATATATTAGTTTTCGTTGTGGAAAAAACATATAGCCTATTGTATTATTCTACAAAAAAAATCCGCCTTTTGAATTCATGCTGATTCTGGAAAAAGGTTATTGACTTCACGTTTTTAGAGTCATCTCGAGCCATTTTGTTGTTTTTAAATCAATATTCAAATGCAGACAGGATCTTCCGAGGCCATTCTTGTTAAAACAGATAAACTTGAGGCAATTAGTGCTGATTGCGTCTGACTGCACAATACAACTCATATTTGGGGACAATGTTGCTGTCACTTTGAGTTACGTCCGAGAGCAAATCACCGGTTTGGGCCCTTATGTCAGCCAGAGGCCGTCTGAGCAGCAGGCCGCACTGCTATCGCTCACTGCAGACTAATTGAAATGTTACGGATCTTAACCGTTAGAAGCAATTTTGCGCACTTCATTAATTAACGTTAAAGATGCACTTTAACGGCAGCTGGTCGACAGCGGGTAACAACGGAAAACACCATATTTACACCAAATCTGCGAGCAGGAACCATATTGCGCTGCTTATTAGGCTTCGACCCGTTATTACTGTTCATTTTAGGAGGGAACGGGATTGTATGTCAGGCGGTTTAATAATAACAAATAAGAAGAACGAATTTTCGATGAAAAAGAAAATCATTCATATTTGATATATTATTAAAATAAATATTGGATGTTGTATTAAGCGAAAACAACGTTAAAAACATTTTTTAGACCGTTTCTGCCAAATTAATTATAATTTTTCTGAATAAATAAAAAGGAAGTCTGAAAGGCACATGTTTATTAGGTTACGGTTTCAGGATAGTGAATAATAGCCTACAGACAAATTACTATTCACTCATAAGAGGCGAAATATGGCTTATTATCGGTGTTGTTATAACAAAATCCATCCATACGCGGGCCAGCATTTTCACAAGAAGGGGCCATATGTAGGAGGGAGTGTGTCTGATTTCACTTAATGCTGTGTGTTGGTAATTACATCAGGCTGGAGGACCCTCCGTCGCCCTCCTCCATCCTCCTCCCCCTCTTCTCTGCACGGATCTGATTGGTCGCTGGGAGGCAGCCGGGACAGAAACTGCGTTGTCCTGGTGACCCGGCCTCTGAGGCTCGAGCCCGCTATAAAACCCCGCAGTCTCACGCAGGCGTGCCAAATGGGCTGTCAGATGCGATTTGGAGTAACAAGTGGATTTGACGTTTAGGCTTCTCACCATCGCGCTTGGAAAACCTTTTGGTAAGTTTTAAATTATTTATTTTTTACACTTTCTGATAGACAATTAGGGTTGTCTTGTCTACATATTCCTATGTCTGCCTTTTGTATGCCGAAACAAGTAATAAACATGCAGTTTATACAGATAATGGAAAACCACTGATCTTTTATTCCTCATTTGAAGCGAAGCAGCATAAAGAAAGTGGTTTTTTTACACGAAATGTAGGCTAGCTGTTAACTGTGTTTTTTAATGTTAAATGTCTGCAGCTTTTAGGATAAATATTTTTGCTTTTAAAGCTACAAGTTAATCAACGTCCAGTTGAACTTTTAGGCTTTAGACTATTAATCAAGCAAATACAATTGCAAACCGATTTTTTATATCAGTCGTTGTAACCGCCAAAAATGTTGCTTATCTTAAAACACATTGCATGAGATTAGCATTTTGGTGATCAGTCAATTAACTTAACCTTTCTCTTATCAGATCACTGTTCTGCACCTAGACCATGGACTCAGATACGAGCAGACCCTCATCTCCCGAAGAGGACGACATCTTCCTGGCCACCCTGAAAAAGTCAGTGCACGGCTTCTCCAGCGCAGTGTCCTCCTCTCAGATCGACGCTCTGTCGGAGTTGCACGGCCTCCACAGCTTCACCGCCGAAGACGAGGAGACCCTCGCTCGGCTGTCCAAAAAAGACCGAAAACTCCTTACAGAAAACGAGGTGCAGACCATCCGTCTCAAGATTAACAGCCGCGAGAGGAAAAGGATGCACGACCTCAACGTGGCCATGGACGGGCTCCGCGAGGTCATGCCCTATGCGCACGGACCCTCGGTGCGCAAGCTCTCCAAAATTGCCACCCTGCTTCTCGCCAGAAACTACATCCTGATGCTGAGCAACTCCCTGGAGGAGATGAAACGGCTGGTGAGCGAGATCTACGGCAGCGGCGGACACCACGGCGGCTTCCACCCAGCGGCTTGTGGGACTATGACACACGCGGGGCCCGTGCCGGGACACCCGGTGGTTCCTCACGCCTCTCACCCGGCTGTGCACCACCCGCTCCTCCCCCCGGCCGTCTCCTCCGCCTCTCTGTCCGCGCCGGGTATCTCCGTCGCTTCGGTCAGATCCCACCACGGACTCCTCAAAGCGCCCACACCAGGTGCAGGCCCCCTGGGCAGCAGCTTCCATCACTGGGGCGTGAGCACCGGGATGCCCTGTCCGTGCAGCATGTGCCAAATTCCGCCTCCGCATGTGAGCAGCATGAGCGCCATCCCCATGCCGAGGCTGACCAGCGACTCCAAGTGACTCCAAACTAACCGGAGACGAACTTTTGGGGCTATACAGACTCTCTCCCCTTGTTATTACTCTTTTTATTTATCTTTGTTGCTGAATTCGTTGCCTCAATGGAACCAGTAAAGAACAATGCATTGATTTCCCTCATCAGGACTTTGAGGTTTTGCAACTAACGTAGTGTTTTATGGTTATTAACATAAACTGTAACAGGTGTTTCTTCACAGAGCGCCTAAAACACAACTTCTGCTTTTTTTTTGGAAATCTTCAATTTGTGTGTCTCTCCATTTATCCACTAGATAAAAATGGAAAAGGTCATACCACAAATATAGATTGTAAATATGTAGATGGTTTATTCTGTTTAAATAGTCGGAGATATCTTATATAATTAGAGTCTTGTTAATGCGTTGGGAAGACCCCCCTCACATGATGCATCTGCTTTATTCTGTCCGTATTATTCAATTATTCTGTCCTTATTTTCTCCCTTGTAGTTTGTCATTCTCTGTCTGACCGAAACAATGACCACTTGTTTATTTTTTTATTAAAATGAAAATGATATTTATTTACTTATTTTGGACGGGAATGTCAGATGGATCTCTGATTATGTTGGGGTTTGAAATGTAAAATAAAGACGATTAATTGAAAAGAAAACATGTCTTTGATGTTTTATGTTATACATTTATAATATTTTCTTTTCTTCTAACCATTGAGTAGTTTACACAACAGAAGGATGGATATTCTAACTGAGATTTTAAAAGCAGCACTGACCCAAGGCCTTCAATTACACACTTTCAACACCAAACTGATCATTTATAAAAATATAAGATTTAAAAAGACACAAAAGTTCACAATTTCTTCCTTAAATGACTATTATAATACTGATTATAATTTTGAAATACTAAATATATATAAAATGATTGTATGTTATTAAAAAGAGAGTTGAGATTATTTTCACCTTAAAGAACACACTTCATTATTCTACTTAGCTTTTACTGACCATTCATAAATAACATTTAAATAACTTTATTTAAAAATTCTTAGCTAAATGACACTATTTTATGATTTTATAAGGAAAATTGATTTGACACAAATATTTCTTCTGGCAGCATATGTGCAGTGCTTCAAAATTCAGCCATGCAGGAGTAGCAACATGTAATAAGGGTGTTGTTCTTTTGAGAATTTTGGACTCTTAAAAGGTTAATCTTAATTGTTCCTATTTCAAGTCCCACATAGCACGGATGAATTACATCTAATAAAAACAGGAATTTCTTTCCTTAAAACAATAATATAGTTGGGGGAGTATAATTTATTTATTTAATACATATAATATACTCTTTTTCTTTTGTGATAATAGTAACAATTGCATGCAATGACTTCATGAAACAAACTTGTTCCTCATCCCTCCTGCTGGATGATCACAACAAAGTTTGTTGTGAGTCTGGTTGGAAAACAGTTTAATTTCAACCAAAAACCAAACAGTGATTAGTTAAAGCAATTCTGCAGGTTACGTGTTGTGATGAACAAAAATATACATTTATTACTTTTCCATTTTCATAACTGTGTGGCAAGAGGGCGACCTCTAATAACTGCATTTGGAGTCGCCAGCTTAGCGAAATAAGTGTGTAAACTGAGGATGATCACAGAAAGACTGTGATGAGTAAAGGCTGGTACACTTTAGGAAAAGGCAGCAGCTGCATAGCAGATTGTGCATGCTGTTGCAATGTTTTCTAAAGGCTTTTGAAGCTGGAACGATATGAACTAAATATCTGAATATTCATGCACGCATTTGTTTATTCGTCTCATTACTGGAATTGAATTATTCAAAGTCCTTCAGTGTTTTGTAGGACGTTTCAGAGGAAGAGGTCATTTGATGCAATACGGCAAAAATACAGTTTATTTGCAGGTAAGCTAGGAGACAATGATTTAAAAAGAAAAGTCTAAAAAAAATATTAGGCCATCTGAGAATGTATTTCCTCTTGATACTTTAATGTACTTTGCATGACTATTAGTAATCATCATCAACTCTCTTACTTCTTCGTCAAACTGATCCATATTAGCTTATTTGGCTGATCATACTTTACTACCAGTACAGTTGAGGTTCTGTTCGATAAAATAAGAAAGTATATAAGTGTCTATAAATAAGTGGCTTACTTTTTGAGATTCTGTCTTTTAGGTGTCTGCCAAACAGTTATTCACCAAAACGATGTATTCATTACTTAAAACCTAGTTTTTGTGTCAGTAAAATGGCCAATTCCACCGAAATGAAAAGTTGATCTGTCATCATGTGAGCCGTATTAGTCAACATATTAAGATGTTTCCCCATGGCAGTCGAGACATGTTTCTTATTTATAAATCTAACTTTGTGCTACTTTTTCAAACTCTGACTGCTGGAAAACTAAAAAGCAATCCCATTTCAATTAACAAACAATAACCTGCACATACAGGTGGATATAGACTAACACAACAATAATCCATACAGCTGTTATGGGAATAACAATCATTAAGATGCCTTATAAAGTCATAAGCTGTAGGATCATCTGTCTTAGAACATCTGCTTTACATCAAGTGTCTTCAAAGCCATCCGAGCACCATTGTCTGTGCAAAACACAGTTAACATGGATAATTAAGTATCATGTTGCAGACATAATGAGACTCCCCTTCCCCCCATGATTTGCTCTCTTTTGTCTTAAGTTCTTCATTAAATAACTCAGTATAATACATATTAAAAAATGTGAAAGATTCCCTTGTCAAAAAGTCATGATTACACAACAAACTGCACTCCATGACAGATGGATATAAATGAAAGAAAACAAAATCTGAGAAGCTTCAGTGTTTCTGGTCATAGATTTGAAAGACAATAGGCTATATCCAAAATTGATGCAAAGGCAACACATTTCAGTCGAAACCTTCTGCGCATTCTAACGTTTTATGACTTTACTTAAATAGGAATGGACAGAAATTCAAGAAGGAAAGAAATATAAAGTCACCTGGATTACATTTTAGAGGAAATGTTTCTAATGAACATACCTGCAAAGTGAACAAATATTCATACACTGTATGAATTTCACCAACAAATTATTTCGTTTGTTGATTCCGTCCCAAATAAAGCAACAAAAGAATTAACACTGATTTCATGGATATCAAAGAGCTCGCAGTGCTTGGTGGAGGTTAGGGAGAGATTGTAATGTTTTAAATATTCTAAATGAATCTTAAGAGCATATGAATATATATTGATATAACATTCAACCATGATCTTTTCTATTACTGTAACCAAATTAAATGCTGACCACCCATCAGACAATGGATTTTAAACCCAATCTAATGTGACATTCTTGCAATTTGACGGCCTTACCCACTTCCTCTTGAACTCCAACAATACTCTTGTGTTTCTCCACTCAAACATATTCCTCTTCTTATAATATCAGTGTTTACGGTATTTAAGACCTTTTGTTTTGGAAACATTTTGGAATAATTTGCAATCTCACTGTGTGTTCATGAGTTTTTCTTTCTATTAGAAATCCAGATTAACATCATGTTAAAGTTAAAAGAGAAACTGACTGAGTTGCATCTTTTCAGCTCAGCCTGAACACTGTGGTCAGAAGCAGCTGGGCTTCACATCGCTGTGCCTGGATTTGAATAAACAGCTCCTTATCCACTGTTGGTGGCAGGCTGACTTATCCATTGATGCTGAGAGTGTGAGGTTGATTCTGTCACAGTTTAAATATTCATAACTTTGGACAGAAGGGGAGCATCAGCCTAACACTGCTGTAACTGGATTTAAACCCTCGTGAAAAAAACGCACAGATGTACACCCTTTCAGCTCCGCGCATCGTGTTGTGTTAGCTGAAGGGATTAAAGATCGGTGGGATGCATCAAAGGTGGCGGAATAACAGAAAGAGAAACAGAGTCTATGATGCATCAGAGGAAGAATAAGAGAGAGGAGATAAACAAACAGAGAAGTGGTCCAAGACAAAGGCAGGATTTAACACTTACAAGGGAATAGATGGAGCTCTAAGGTGAATATGAGACCTCAGAGGTCACTCTTTCCCATGGGATCGATGTTTACTCCAACTCAGTCTCATCTGCCCATCTTAAACCACCATTACACACTGTGATGGACTAACACGCACAAAGAGACATGGCAGGCAACAAGTGGGAGCTTAGCTGAGTATTAAGCTGTTTTTATTTGAGTTGTTGACAACTCTTTTTTTTCGAGTTAAAGGAATAAATTATGCATATCACACATTCTTTCAAAAAGTTAGATGAGAACATTACTTTTTATGGCTGTTTAATGTAAACATTTGGCAAACAAGATATCACTTGGAAACTGAGTTTTAGAGATGCTGGTAGGTTGATTTTGTTGCCTTCAGAAGGAGCCATGCTTGCTGTTTCCCCGATGTTTTCAGCTTACGAAATGCATGAATGATATTGATCTTATTCGCTCAATCTCTTGCCAAAATAGTTTGACGGTCCACTACTTTGGTCTCAGCCATTGACGGACAATTTCTGACTTTGGTGATCCTCTGACTTTTCCACAGGCATCACCAGGAGTAGGACATTTCTGGTTTTAGGTGATATGTTTACAAGTGTTGGATATGGCTAAAACATTTTGTATAGACTTTTTATATTCCCCCTGACTTCTTTTGTTGGTGGTTCCAGGTACTGGTAAAACAATCCAGTCAGACACCAAAATACAGCCGTTTATAGTACTACTAAGATAAAGGAGAAAAATTGCAGAGTACACTTGTATTGAGGGAGACCTCGGATTTCCTGCAGGGTGATTCTTATCCTAGTCCTGCCACTGAAATTCAATTGATGATAAATAAGTTTACCATATTGGTTTCATGACTTTTACAAAAAACAGCACACAGGTGTTGATTTACGATAGACCTGATTTGGATCTGCTTTGTGATGGATTTTGGAAAGCCTCAAATGAACATAATTCATTTAAAATTGAATGTGGCCTAGCCTTTGCAATCTGAATATAGCATGTGTTGTCTTTATTTCTCAAGCTGTTGTGCAGGTTCTTTAGTGCCCAGCATCTAATTATTTTCCTTTTACAGACAATGCCTCATATCCTGATTGATTTTATGTCTAGGACAGTACTGTTAGTCTCGCATTAACAGGTTGGGTTGGAAAGGGTTTAGAGATAATTGCTGATAATGGGTCAATTATACAAACTGGATGGTCTGATACGTCATTGATTTAATTTTTTGTGGTGGAATTCTGGATTCATTCAATATGTTTTAGTTTTGTAACTTGACCATTAGTGCAGTCACTCCATTTAAAAAATCATCAGGATATTTTGCAAGCCAGTTTCTTAAGAACTTAACAATACTTGTGTTTGTGTTACTGTTCAATAATCTATGAAGCGCAGCAGATGAACTCCTCGATCGGGTGGATCAATGTGTTTAGTAAAAGCCCAGGGGGACAAAGACAGAAGGGTGTGAGAGTAAAGGAAAGCGAGAGAAACAAAGCGAGTGAGCAGAAGATCCATTGAGTGTGTTTTTTGTGGC